AGAAAATACACATCCTCCGGCAGGGCTTTGGGTTTGACCAAGCTGAAAACACAACAGCTTATTCAGAGATATTTTCCAGTCCTTCCTTTCACCCTAAGCCTTTTTCAGCTCCTTGTGACACGCCTGCTGGGGAGGACACAGGAGGCCTCTTTGCATCGCCATCCCCTGCACCTCAGACGGGGCTGCTGTACGCGGTCTAGTGGACGCGGTGCAGCCCCGACACAGGCAGACGCCAGGCACCCGGAACCGGGAGCGCGGCAGCGCTGCCGAGGGGGCGGCGGCTCCTCGCGAAGCCGGCCAGAAACCACCCGGGAAATACTTCAGCCCCAGCTTCAAGTGGGCTGACATTTTTTTCTCTCAAGCTAATTTTAGGATGAAAGGGAATATTAAGACTTTGAAGAGGGTAGAGGGGTAGTTGCTCAGTTGGAGATGCTGATGACAGCACACCAGCAGCCAGAGCATTGGCTTTTTCCCACCAGAAACAGAGTAATTTGGCTTCAGGGGAGGTGCAAGGCTTGAAGGGGACCGCTCTGGTTTAAACGAGGGGGAGGACGAGCGTGAGTCACTTTGGCTGGCTCCTGGCCACAGCTCCCGGGGAAAAGCCAGCGCTTCCAAGTGCTGAGCCGCTCGGCACGTGGTGCCCATCCGGGATGCGCAGTGGGGGCACGGGCTGCTTGGCCAGGAGGAGGAAGAGACGGGTCTGGCCTGGGCTCGGTGCTGCTGCAGCACAACCAGGGCACCCCACAGCAGGCAGGGCTCCTGCAGCTGCAGGTCTGTGACCGTCTCCAGGAGGACTGAGCAACTCAGAGAAGGGTCATTTTTCCATCCTACCGACCACCACAAAACTTTGTCTTTATCACAGTAGATGCATCTACAGTTTCATTTCTTCTTTTCTGTTCTTTTCTTCCTGCCAAGCCGTTTTTGTTGCTGCTCTGTGACCCCCCCAACGAGGATGCCAACCCCAGGGCCGCTTCAGGACGTCCTCGCTGGAAGGGGACACGGCCTCCTGGCCTCACCCCTGCGCTTGAAGGAGAAAACATCTCCCTATAGCACAGCATGAAAATGATTGCTTAAAATAAAATGCCATTTCCTCATCTTCCTCATTACTACTTCACAGTGGCCTCACTGATTCATTTCATCCGAGGTGCTAACAAGTCATGCATGCAGTAGGCAGTGTGGCCATGTAATGTGCAGCAGGACTATGGCCTTAGGGATCAGGTCTTTCCCGCACCATCAGCCCCACGTGGAGTCTGTTCAGAGCCAGGTGTGACCCCCCTTAACGTGCCACTTTCATACCCACACGGCCCTGCTCAGCAGCACGTGGTCAACCGAGCACCTCTAGCCCTTGCAGCCTTAGCTCCAGTCTTAGTTTTCACTCATCAGCTTCTATGGTCTCTAGCCTTCCTGCTCAGCCTTGTTTCCGCAAACACTAAACACTAAGCACGGAGTAGGAAATAAAAATTTAAGCTTGGCATGAGCAGAATTAGCAAGGTGAGAGCAACAGAAGCTTCCAGCTGCCCCAGCGTGTCCAGCCCAGCGAGCTGGAGCCACTTTCCTGCCTCCCCCCAAGACATTTAAGTCTGTTATTTCCTTCTTCAAATCAACCTTTCCTCCTTCTTCAGACTTTAACTTTATAAAATGGCTCTGGCACTTTCTGTGATGTGAAACCTAAGTGCACTGGCTGGATCTAAGAAAGTGGTGGTCCTTAAAGAATGGGCAATTGCCAGAGCACTCAGCTATAAGCCGTGCTGGTACTTAACCTTTACTCCCCCAATCCAACCTACAATAGTCAGAGCGTGTTGATTTTGTTATTTCTTCAGACATTTTCTCTAAAGAGCCCGGTCGCAAGGACATAACGAGGAGCACAGCTGGGGAGAGCTTTCTGAACAGCGGGAGCAGAGAAGGAGCATATGTGGGCCCGGAATGCCCCGAGCCTGCACAGAGCCATTCATGTGGCTGGAGATTAAGGACTCACCCAGCTGGAGCATAAAAAAACTGAGTGTTGAGGAAGGCAACGAATAAACAGTCACCAAAAAGGGGAGAATGGAGAAAACGCTTCTTACATATTGCACCTCCTGTCTGTCTTGCTGTTTGCCCAAAGAAATCACCACTCCTTCTGTACACGGAGAGTAGAGAAAGCTTATTTAAGAACAAGGAGCCTTAATTGGGAGCCAGGGGGCTGTTTTCCCACCTCCACACCAAAGCCCAGGCTCTTCATGTGCCCGGGAGCCAGCAGAGCCCCATCCTGGCAGCGCGGCGCTATAGGGAGCTGCTCAGCGGGCGAATCTCCCTCCACGGCCACCTGCAACCCTCGCAGCCCAAAGCAAACCCCTTGCTTCACGTCCGAATCTCCTCCCAGGGATATCAGGCATAGTCCCAGCTGATACAACTATACCACCGGAGCCCTCTTCCCAATGCCCTTCCAAATGCAGCGACACGGAACAAAAGCCCTTGGGTCCATGAAGCTTCTCCAACCAGATGGCCACTGTGAAGCCAGTGTCGCCCTGTGCAGCCTCAGCGTGTGCCAGCAGGAGCGCGTGACCAAGCCGGCTGCCTTAGTCCCTGAGTGCCAGAGTACGGCCCGGCTCCTCTTTCCAAATCAAAGTTGCTCAGAAAAAAACACCGACTGCGTTCCCAAGTACTACACAGCAGTGAATTCCTGGCCAAAGCAACAAAACATACACCTCCCTCAACGCCAATGCCTCCGATTCATTATACTGCCATACAACAAGGGGCAGCAGGAGAAGGAAGGGCAGATCATGCCTGAATCCAAAATAACTGTTTGGTTTGTCGAGTTAATAATACTTTCTGACATAAGCTGGAATTAGCAGGTGGTTTTCCCTTGGATTGCACGGAGCCGGTGCAGTGAATCATGGCTCAGCTTGTGCTGTGCCCAGCATCACGGGGAGGGAAAGACCAGGGTAGTTCTATTTCCCTGCTCATAGGAAAGTATCTGCAGCTCTCGGTTCATGTTTGTGCGACGTCTTTGCAGGAACATGGTGCCTGGCGGCAGCGCCGACCGTCCCACGCGTGGCAGCGGCAGCTTCCGACAGCGCCGCGCTTCCATGGCCGCTCGCCCTCGCGCGGGAAGTTTCCCCGAAACGCCAGCCCAGCTTCCCACGGGGAGCCCGGCCCGCGGGCAGTGCCCGGGGCAAAGGGCGGCCTTGGGCAAGCAGGCAGGCGAGCAAGAACGAGGCAGCTCCTGCTGCTTTGGGACCGGGGCACCCCCCGCCGCCGACCCCCCCCGCACCCGGCGCCCTTCCCGCGGGATCTCACCCGCGTCCGCCGCTTCTCCCGCCCGGCCTCGTTCCTCTTCCCGCCCCCGCGGCCGCCGCGCGGGTTTCCATGGCGGCCACCACCCCCCCCGGCCCGCCGCCGCCACCGCGCTCGCGGAGCTCCCCCTGCCGCCGCGCTCGGGGCGGTTCAGGGCCCGCCGCTGCGGAGGGAAGGGCCGAGCCGCGGGCCCGGCCTCCTCCGGCAGCCGGGGAAGCCACAGCCGCTTCCCTCCTGGCCAAGGGCCGGGTTTAGGCTCTGGCAGCCAGGCTGCGCTCGCGGAGCCGTCCCGAGGCGCTGGGCGAGCGGGGGCTGCCCCGGGCGAGCGCCGCCTTCACAGACACACACTTGTTGCCGGCACCTGTGCATGTTGTCTTGGGAACTGCATCTGCTGCATCTGCTGCGTCCATTCCTGCCGCTCCCGGCCCACCTCTGCGCCCCTGCCGCCCGCCTCATCCTCCTGCTGCTGCAGCCCCCAGCACCAGCCTCTTTCTTGGGCCACAGCCACATCCCTGCTCCGTCCACAGCCGATTCCTGCGTTAGCTACAACTGGCCTATGGAGCCGTCTCTCCCCCTCCTTCCCACCTCAGAGATGTCTGTCCATCCCTCCCAAGCCTCATGGCAGCTCTCCCTCTCCCTGCTTCTCCTGCCTCCTGAGCTCCTCAGTCACAAGCAGCCTGGCACACTCCTGGCCTTCCCATAGGCCTTCCTCCTCCTCCTCCTGGCCTTCCCATAGCATTCCCCCACTCACCTCTTCCATGCTCTTTCCCAGCACCTGCATCCCTCTCGTTCCATCTTCACTCCTGCTCCTTCTTCCTCCACCACGCATCCTGCTCCTCACCCAGGCACCACCTTCACTCCTCTTCTCCCACCCCTATGCAGGATGTGCCACGGGCCATGTCCAAACCTTGCTCCTCCATCCACTCCCACCATCTCTCTTGCTTCTTTTGGTGCCACCACCCACAATTGCCCTTTGAAGTCATCTTCTCCGCCATCATCCTGATTAGCTTCTCCTCTCTGCCTCCTTCTCCGCTCCCCTCAGTGTCCACCCACACCACAGGCCCTCTCATCATCTTTCCTGACTGCCGTGCATACCCCTGCCCTCTCCATCCTCCCAAAGGAAGCACTTGAACATCTCCCACAGCCCCTTCCCACCTGACCTGCCTAGAGGGCTTCAGCAAGCACCCGCAGCCATGCTCATCCCCACTAGTCTCTCTCCACCCTGTTCCCAGCCACCGTCCAGCCTTTCCTAAATAAACTGAGTGCTGCTGACAGGGTCCGTGCTGATCACCTTTCCCTGGTGAGTCACTTCCACATCCCTGCTCTGTTTCTGCTGAAAGCATCGCTCTTGCTCACTAGGCTTCCTGCTCTTCCCCTTCTCCAAGCTGTCCCCACCCTGGCAGTGGTCATGAAACCTGTTTTGGCTGTTAGCACAGGGCACACAGGACACATGCACAGGTGCCTGCAAGGGACACCATGTCACACATATGGATACTGTAGAGTTAGATAAGTTGCTACTTCTATTGTATTTTCATACAGACTTCAGACCATCTGTGGAAAGCTGTCAAACAAGTAGTTGGAAACATACAAAAGCTTGTTAGGTTACTTAAACAGTGATTTAACAGGCTCACATCTAAGCACTCAGTGAATTGCCCTGCCATACTGACAGTCTTCCCCACACTTTGCTCGTCTCTCTACAACAGAGAAATCTCCAAGCTTACTGCTGCCCTGGTCCCTGTATTAGGAACTCCTTATGTTCCCTGCTCGATTGATTTCATCTTTCTCCCACTACAGGGACAGTTATTTCTTGGTTTCGTGTTATCATGTTAGGTTCTTCAGTATCAAGAGAGATTCTGTTTATGTAGGAAAATGAAACATAGAGTCAGAAAATGCTGTGGTCATCCCCAGGTTAGGAACAAGGGTCTTCACCTCTAGTAACTTCATTCCTGGCTCTGAAAGCAAGCTGTGCAGGGAAAGGTTGCCTGGACCTCCTAGTTGTCTCTTGTGGAATTGTTATTATGGACCATGCCAATATATGAAACCTACAAAAAACTGCATGCTCAGCTGTTGCAAGTTGGAACAGCCAAGCTGTTTTCAGTGAATTTACTGTAGTTTTAGTAAGGTTTTATTGCAATTTTACATATATCCAGATCTACTGGTTAGTTATCCAAGCAGAGGAGCTTGCAAAGGAAGCAAATGCAGACTAGGAGGCCGGTGCATCCAAGTGGCAGCAGCACTTGCATTGCAACAGCACCATACGTGAGGTTCTCCACTCACACGGACAGAAGGGGGTACCTGTCCCACTGTATGTTGTGCTGCACAGGATTTGCTTTGCAGAGACATGAGTGCAGGGAGAGTCTGCAGGGGAAAGACAGAACTTGTTGATAGCACAAAGGTGGAAGTGCAGATGCCCCTGAGAGAGGGTTTGCAAAGAAAATCTAAAAATGTCTTCAATGTTAGATATGTGAAGAGAGATTCTGCAAAGAGCAGAAGTGAGATAAGCTATTCTATACAGGGAAACAGTAAGGAAAAAAAAAAAAGTGTGAGCTGGGGGCAGCAGTGCAGAGATACAGATTTGTCCAGAGATTTGAGACTAGGGAAATTCAATACAGAGAAGACCAAGAGACAACAAGTTGGCAGTCTCCTCAGCCCATTATCACCACAAAAACACATTGGGGAACTGGATAGATACCAAAAATTCTCAAATACTGGGATAAGGGAAGAGGTATTCCTAAAGCTTATTTCAGATACAGTCAGCATGATGGTTTAAATAGAGTGGGATATAGAGCTGGAAACTGGAGCCCTAACATATGGCCAACAGGACAACACAGTGTGCAAAAAGCACATAATGAACCCTGCAAGCAGGCTCAGAAAAGGCTTAGTCATTTACTGATGCTGGGGTCCTTGGCTGTCACTGCAGAGTGATGAATTGTCTCTGTTGCTGGCTCAAGGGCACACAGATTGCTCCAGGCACTGTTAACAAGTACACGAAGAGCTGGGACCTGGGGCTACAGCAGTGCAAAACATATGCTGAACTAGTAGGTGTGTGGGCTCAAGAGTGGGGAGACAGATGGTTCCGTGGGTACTGTCCCCACATCCAAAAGCCTTTCAGATTTAGACATGGGGGCTGTGCTGAGAAAAGCTGCTTCCAGCCAGAACTAGAGTGTGAGGAAGCAAATAGGTCCTTAGAAACCCTGCCATTCTCCCATGAAATTTTCCATCATAATCCAATATTTTCATGTATACTGGCCAGCCTTTTGTGGTAACATCAGACATCAGGCAAATGCTTCCTCCTATTGTCTTTGCAGCTCCCAAAGGACCTTTGGCTTGAGTGTCCTTGCCAAGAAATAAGGACTAGACAAGCAGTTGACATATCAAAATCAGCAATGATGGTAGATACAAGCTGGTTGCTTCTGCAGGTTGCTCTTTACCCTGCTGAACAAAGTGCAACCAGTCAGGCCAGCCCCACATGAGCAGGAAGGAGGAGCCGATCTCTGTGTCTGGTTAAATAAGTAACGATCTGGGGTGAAGCTCACTTTGAGAAACCAGGAGAAAAGCTGAAGATCCCTGTGGTTTAGCCATGCTGCATTCTTTATGTGCTTTCTATTCTCAGGTAGAATTCTTAAATCTGAGCAATATCCCTGCTGGACCAGAGTCGCTTCTCAGAAAGATGGGCTAGTTTGCAGGGCTAGAAAGAGCAGAAGGACAAGGTGAGCTCCACATGGCTGACACTGTGGCCATGCGAGTAGGTGCCCCCTTATGTTGGGGGTCACCTCCCAATTGCACTTACCTTCACAGAGCAGGTGGGTTGCATCCTCACTTGCTCCTCCTGGGCTTGGAAGGAATATGTGAAGGCCAGGAGCAGAGTAAAGAGGGCTGGCAGGGACTCTGCTAGAGCCACTGGAGGTGAAGCACGGTATCGTTGGGCAGCTATGGTGCCTGTGTTTAAGCAAAGGAAAGATTTTGGAACAGAAGTTTGAAATAATCTGTTCATTTATTAAATCCTACCTTTCATAGACAAAGTTGTTCAACATTTGCATCATTAACATGGCACTTAATGGTCTCCAGATCAGTTGTCTTTGGCCTTCAAAGGCCACCAAAGTCATCAGACAAGACTTCACATTTCCTATGGAAGTAGAGCAGGCCTTCAGTTGCTCTGAAAACAGCTGATGGTGCTGCTGCTTAGAAGCTGCACTTACTGAGGATTTACCTCAGAGAAACATGGCATTACTTTTATTTTTAACTTGGGAAACCCCATGTTTTAAAATATTATCTTCTTTCATGTCAAAGAAGCAGGGAGAGTTACCTCCCTCAGTGGCTGGCTGTTTGCAAGAGACTCACATAAAAGTCCACGAGTGAGTAATCCAGATAATCACATGGGGAGCGCTGAAGGGAAATTTAGGCCTCTCTTTCTTCCCATCATTGTGTTTGGAATATGTTTCCAATTGCACCAGTCACAAGGCCAGCTGGGAAGCTGATCCATAGCGGCAAACTAACAGCATCCTATCAGACCACATGACAGGGAGCTGCACACTATTTTTCTGACACTTAGTTGAGTCAGAAAAAGAGCATCCCCATAGACTCAGAACATATACAGTCTATTTCTTTCAGCTATACACCTTAACAGAAAAGGAAGAAGAAATCCTCCAAGTGAAGTAACTGGGTCCTTGGAAGGTGCCTCCCAACACACATTTCCCCACTACCTCCTCCCAGCTCCAGTGGGGAGCTGCAGGAATAACCTGGCATCTTATTGCTTTGCTCATAGGGCTTTGAACGTGCTGCATCCAGGGCATCCAGGCTTGTGGGATCACTCAGTGCTGTCCGATGGCTTTAACAGTCCCTGGGAAGGAAGCAGAGGTGAAGTTATGACACTGCTGTGGCAACACACAGGTAGAGCATCAGGGCTGGCTGCTGTTGGGGAGGGCAGCCTGCTGAGGGGCTCAGGACCTGCGGTGCTCAAGGAGTGCCTGGTTCTAACACAGTTCATTCATTCCTCCAGGCAGTAGCCTCTGAAATGAGGCAGAGATCATTGTGGCCACAAGCTGGTATTTCCCAGTAATTATCATAAAAGGACTGCTTTTGTTGCGCAGCGGTGAAGCCTTCTTGTCTTCAGGAAAAAGCACTGCAACTAGAATAAGTAAAGTCACAGAGGGAGATATTTACCTTACCTATTGCTGAAAAAATATTTTAAAGATGTTTAAAAGTTAACCTCTGCTCAACCTACAACTATTCTATGATCTAGGTTAGGTCTCCATGCAAGTTATCCTGATGGGTTTCTGCATAAAAGCCCATGTGGTGTAGGAAAAGGTGATTACCCAATGACTTGACTCTTCAGTCAATGGGGCAAGCTGAAGACATCAGGCAGGCTAGAGTCCCACTGCAACATCGGCGTTAGGTTCACAGCCCCATCTTTCCTGTAAACAGCTGTTGAGCTGAATGAAATGCAGAGCCCCAGTACGCAATGCTGGGGAGAAGTGCTGCTCGCTGCAGATGCGTGTGAGTGCTCCACGCAGGGGACAGGACGAGGCGCAGGCAGAGCCCGAGGACACTGCCGGTCCCCGACAGCAGGTGCCACTGTGGACCGCAGCCGCACAGAGCGGGTGGCTGCTGCATGCAGGGACCCTGGTGCCAGCTGATGTCCCCATCCTGCAAACTGGGTCTGTTCCTGTGGGAATCAATGGACTCCATTTACTTTCTGTTGGTGCTTGGGTAGTCTGGTGCCGAGGAAGCCAGCCCAGTGCTCCTGCAGCAGAGTAGCACCACAGGATGCTGCGGCTGCCACCAGGCTGGAAATCCTTAAGGGCATCTGTAATGGCAGCTATAAAGTGGTATGTGGCAAAGCCATGTGCTGGGACACCCCTTGGAGCACCTCAGGGATCAATCTGCTGACAGAGTGCCCAGGTACTACATGAAGTGAATGTCATGAGGACAAACCCCCTGTGTTTTTGCAATTCGAGTTGTCTTTAAGGCTTGGTCTACCTCAGGTGCTGATGCAATAGCTGTGCTTTAAGCTTCTGGAAACTTCTGGTATTTTAGTGCATGGAAAGCTTAGGCATAGGCTTCACCCTAGTGCTAGTCTTCACTATTGCCCAGCGCCCCAGGCTGAGCACCCTAGCTAGTCCCCTCCATCACATCAAGTGGGCTGCAGCCTCGGGGAACGCCGCTGCTCCGAGGGAGCACAGCCATGTGCTGGAAGAGGGCAACATCTTCCATTACTAACAGGAAGCAGCTATAGGGGAAAGTGTTATTCTCTGTTGTTAAAGCTGCCTCTGGTTTATACCCACCTCTGAATGAACACTGGGGTGACATCAGCTTTCTAACTTTTACTTTTCTGTTGCATGACTTTTGTAAATAGGAATGCATTATACACCCAAACATTTTAAAAGACTAGGAGGGAAAAGAACGAACTGAAAAAAATCATACAGAGAATTTATCTTAGAACAGTGCATTTGTCTTAAAATTAGGAATGAGGAAATTTTCAAGGACTTTTCAGCTCATGCAAGTCCTTCACTCCCAGGAGTCCTCCACCAGTCCAATGCCATCCTCTCTTGCTTGGGATGCCACTGTGCCCTGGTTGAAGCCAAAGCAGGAAGAGAAGGACAGCCCCACAGGTCACGGGCGAGGGGTGAGCTCAGCAGAGGCTGCACCCAGCCCTGGCCCCATCCACCTACCTGGCTGTGGGTGTTCAGCACCTCCTGGGGCACCCACATGTTTCTGAGACAGCAGAGCAGCCTGGCCAGTGCGGGAGCTCAGGAGTTCCGTCCATGCAGAGCAGCAGCTGGATGGCCAGGGAAACACCTAGGACATCCAAAACAGCATTCCCCCTGGAAATGGGAGCAGAGAACAAGAGATGGCTAAATCAGAGGGGAAAGAGAGGAAGAGAGGAAAAAAGTATCAGCAAATGCTGCATTTTTCTCCTAGTGAGCTATAGCTCCTAGATCCTTTGGTTTATTTTGTCTCTTTAGGATCTCTACATACTGGTGCCTTCAAAACTGACAGGTGAAAATGGGATGCAGCTCAGCGCTATCAAAGGCAGGTTTGCTGTCACTGAACAGCAGCATTGCCACCTCCAGAGCTCAGAGACAGCACTCATCTGCTTGGCGTGATCAAGTACTAACCACCCACCTGCAGCTCTTTGTTGTGGTGTGCTGTTAATGCCACTCTTCCCAGTTCTCACTGGGCACATTTCTGAGCCTGTGAGCTACCACATAGACATCCATCTGTCTCTTGATGGCCTGTCCCATGAGACAGAAATCTGGCCTCAAGGTCCTGTGTTAAACCAGCTCACTCCATGTAATGACACATATTGACCCCAGAAAAGCTTAACTTGCTCTTCACATCCATGCAGACGAGCTAAACAGACAGACATGGCTCTAGGTGATGTAAGTGTATGCACATGAGGGTTTTCACCAGTTAAACTGATGTGATCCAAAGAAGTGCTGCACAATTAACACCCCCCCATCAATCTTCCAGTCATTCTGGACATCACAAATAATTTTTCCTTCTTGTGTTTGCTCGCTCAGACTCCAAATTTTCTTGGAATTCAGTGATCTGAGTCCAGGTCACCATTTTCAGGAGAGTTGCTTCGTCCTCCACCAAGTTGCTCATGGCTCCTCTTCCTTCCTGGGCAGGCCTCCGTGCTCCTCAAGCTGCACGTGCAGCACGGTACCTCCCTCGTGCTCTGCACACGCTGTCTCCAGCTCTGGCCACAGTCTCCCTGCCTGAACTGCAGACCAACAGCTATGAGCCAAGGCTCAGTCCTGTCCCCAGAGCCTGGCACTGCTGTGGCACCGCAGAGTGGCAAGCCCAGGCTGGGCTGAACTAGACACTGGCGCTGGGAAGGTGGGGAGGACAAGGGCGGGACCTCAGGGCCCAGACAATTACTAAAGACAATTCCCATCTTTTCCAAAGGAGGTCAGAAAACACTTGTGTCCTGGATTTCTCAGCTCAGAAACCTTCTGTTGTCTGGCTCTTTGTCAAGCCATCATTTTGCAGTTTCCATTTGTAAACCAGATCTACTAACAGATTTTAACAGTATTTCAAGCAATCTCTAGATGTCTTATGTACCTTAAGAGGCAGCCTGCCGCCCAGGCTGCTGGAGCCGGTAGGTTCCTCATCCCATAGGCAGCATGTGTCCAGCACCAGAGCAGCCCAAGCTCTCACCATTTCATCTGAGCTGCGCTACTGCAACCATCAGCCACCCCATGACCTGCCCCTTGACCACCTGGTTGGGGTAGCTGGACCTTTTTTTTTTTTTTTTTTCTCCTTTGTTTTTCAAATCTTCTTGCAATGCACCATTGACAGCTGCATGGTAAAAGCTGATTCCTGGGGGAGTCTGCTCCACAGGCCTATCCACACAGAGCTTTCACCATTAATAATTACTCAAAGACTGTCAGACCAGTTTTCTTAAAAACCTACAGGATATTTCTGTGTCTTTTCTACTTCTCTCTGTTTTTAATGTGGTAGCATACACAGGCTGTGCTGTGAACAAGTGAAATTGTATACTCAAACTTTGGAAGAAACCACTGACAGGCTGTATGTTTTATGACTCAAAGATATTCATAATTCAGCATGAGGCTTTCAAGGTGCATACACGTACATACGTTCTCCTTTTCCTTTGATTTAGTATTTTGCCTGCTTCTCAGAGAAAGACACTGCTCATCACACACATGAGCCATCGTTTTTAAAGAACTGGAAACCTGAAAATATTTTTGCATTTTTTTCACTCATCAGCTTACTGCTTTTTAAAGTCACGTCCCAAGGAGTCTGTTCTTTCCTCTGCTCTTTGAAGACTCCTGAACGTATCTCTTCTGCTCCTGAAGTATTTATCTATATCCTGTAATTGCTACCTAGACTCTAAGCCTCTCTGCCAGGAGAGTCTGAAGTTGGTATAAGACACATCTGGCCTCTGTTTTTTAATCACACTTGCATTC